TATGCTTTTCTCTCCTAGAGGATGAAGACTTAGGGCTTCTGTGGCTTAGCCTCCTGATACTGCTTAGTGTCATCTCATCAGCCTGCCTTTAGTTGAAACCTGCTAGCCCTACCCAGTTTTTGCCTCTACACTCTCCCTTCCAGTAAGTCCCTAACACTCTTGAGACAGGGTGACCAAGGCTAGTTGTCCTCTCACACATAGCACCGTCAGTGTCTACTCCAAGTGACTACTGTCACTCAGGGTTCTGCTCAGGGGTGGGCTGCAGAGAGAACCAGGTGCGCTAACACCAGAGTAAGGGGAGGCGGCTCGATGCTCCCACCTCAGCCGTCTTGAACATCAGTCATTCTGTCACCACTTCTTAAGGCTTGCCTGTCCCCTGGTGGATTTGACGCTGCTTCTTGAGCTGTTTCAGCTTGTCCCTATTACAGGTCTCACATAGGGTTGACTTCTGAAACTGCACTTTAATGGTATTTGGGAATAAGACAATCCCTCTCCCCCTTTTCCCCCAAGATAGGTTTCTCTGTGTAGCTCTGGCTGTCCTGGAACTAGGTCTGTAGACTGGGCTGGCCTCGAACTCACAGAGATCCGTCTGCCTCTGCCTCCCGAGTGCTGGGATTAAAGGCGTGTGCCACCACTTCTTGACGCCCCCCCCCCAAGTGTGAATTGAACCTAGGATCTCATGTGTGCTAGATAAGTGCTCTTCACTGGGCGACATTCCTAGGTCTAAAATCTGTTTTTGGAGAGGCATTACCAACACCTCCTGCCTTAGCTTCTTGAGGACCAGTTATACAGGTGTGTGTCACAACAGCCAGCATCTTTTTACATATGTATGTATTTAGTGCATAAATGTTTGGACATGTGTGAGTGCATGTGCGTTGGAGTGCTTGTGGAGGCCAGAGATGTCTTCCTTGGTTGTCTTCCACTTTATTTGTGGAGGCAGGGTGTCTTTGCTGAGGCTACCTGGACAGTTTGCTCTGAGAATCTTGTTTCTACCTCCCAGTGTTGGGATCATAGATGAGTGTGCCTGTCTTCCTACTATGTGGGTTCCACGGATCCAAGCTAAGCTATCTACACTGAGTTATCTCTTCAGGAGCTTATTCTATCCTTAAAAGAGCCAGAGCTTGAGTTTTTGGAGCTCCTTTAATTGTAAATTACTACATGTTTGTTCATCCTCTGGATGGACAGAGTTAACAGGTGGACCACAAACATACACAAACACGCCTCACACTAATAAGTTTATATGTTTTTTTAAAAATATTTTTTGAAGTTTTATTTATTACATATACAGTGTTCTCTTTTTTTTTTTTTTTTGGTTTTTACGAGACAGGGTTTCTCTGTATTGTTTCGGAGGTTATCGGTCCAGCCCGGCCTCGAACTCACAGAGATCCGCCTGCCTCTGCCTCCCGAGTGCTGGGATTAAAGGCGTGCGCCACCACCGCCCGGCTACAGTGTTCTCTTTACACTCCAGAAGAGGGCACCAGATTGAATTATAGATGGTTGTGAGCCACCATGTGGTTGCTGGGAATTGAACTCAGGACCTCTGGAAGAGCAGTCAGTGCTCTTAACCTCTGAGCCATCTCTCCAACCCAAGTTTATATGTTTAAAGTTATGTGATTGTGAATACAGAAGACTGTTATTACTGTGAGACTGGGACCAGAACTCTCAAAGACACTGTCTTTGAGCATGGTCCGGAAACTGGCAACAGCTTTCACTTCCCATGATTCAACTTGCTTGCCTTTTCTGACCTGTCCTCCTGGCCATGGCTTCAGAGTATTTGGAGCATCAGACGCCTCTGGCTTGCTACACGTGTAGTCACTGCCTAATGAATGCTCAGCCTTGTGCAGGTGTGAGCAGAACAGTGGGATCTCCTTGAAGAACTTGAAACAGACCAACAACAACAAATTTTAAAAATAACTCAGTATATTTATTTGCATTGTTTTGTCTGCATGCATGTCTGTTTGAGGCTGTCAGATCTTGGAATTGCAGACTGTGTGAGCTGCCACATAGGTGCTGGGAATTGAACCCAGGTCCTCTAAGAACCACTGAGCCATCTCTCAGCCCCCATACAATTTAGTTTTATAACATTATTACATCTAGAGCTAAAAAGAAAAAAAAAAAAAGCTGGTGCACACTTTTCATTCCAGCACTAGGGAGATCTCCTGAGTTCAAGGCCAGCCTGGTCTACAGAGCAGAGTTCCAAGACAGCCAGGGTCACACAGAGAATCCCTATCTTGACTAAAAAAAAAAAGAAGGAAGAAGGAAAGAAGGCTCAATAGTTGAGAGCACTGGCTGCTCTGCCCCAGACTTAGTTCTGGTACCCACATAGTACCCAACCATCTACTCCAGTTCTGGGGGATGCAGAGCTCTCTCCTGGCCTCCACTAGTACCAGGCACACATGTGGTACCCAGACCAGATGTAACCTGCAGGCCAACACTCAAACATTAAAATAAAATAAAGATAAATGGAAACATTTAAAGCATTATTTTGCAGTCTTGAAGAGACTTGGATAATAGTGGCAGAAGACACTTCACAATTGTAGATAACTGTCTTGGAGTTCTTTTCTTTTCTTCCCTTCTAAGATAGGGTCTCCAGGTTGGGGTTTTAGCTCACTGGTAGAGCACTTGCCTACCAAGTTCATGACCCTCAGCTTAGGGGTGCAGGGGCACAAAATAAAAAGACAGCTTCATTGTGCAGCCTTTGCTGGTCTGGAAACCAGAGATTGGCCTGCCTCTGCCTCCCGGCAGTGCTGAACTGAATGGTGTGTGCCACCACGGCAGCTGCCTTGATTATTTCTGAGCAACTACATTCTACCAGTTTCCAGTGTGATGGATTATGTGTGGGAGGGAGTTTGCCTAGTTAAGTAGGGCTACTTTGGCTTTTTCTTTTTAGGTGTGTGCATTTGGACGCCAGAAGTCTTACCTGATTGAGACCAGGGGTGGACCAGGGTGCAGGGCCCTGGTGTCGTGGCCCTGAACAATGACTACGGGTGGGCACAGGGCCTGCTGGGTGTTTCCCTGGGGGCTGGGGTCTGCAGCTTCCCAGCAAGTGCTTTATACACTTAGCCGTCTCTAGCCTCACTTCGGCTTTTTTACTTCTTATCCCTAACAGTTTTAGTCTTTAATTAAGCACATAAAACCACACTACTTAATAATTTTCCCCATGAACTTTTTGAGAAATTCAGATTGCAGCGTACAATTTACATGTCTTCTGATCATCTATACCTTTCACACAGCTCTTAAAACAAAAACACAACATTCTTTTAACTGGAAGTTGGCCTTGAAGAAGGGGGTGTGGGCTGGAGAGGTTAAGGAGATGGTTTCCAACTAAGAATATTTCCCTGTGGATTCTCTCTTCTGCTTCTTATTCTTGTCTCCTCCTGGCCTCACTCCACCTATTTCTACAAATCCATTATTTGCCAGCGTTGGTGGTGCTCGTCTTTAATCCCAGCACTCGGGAGGCAGAGGCAGGTGGGTCTCTGAGTTCGAGGCCAGGCTAATTTACAAAGCGAGTTCCAGGACAGCCTCCAAAACAATACAGAGAAAACCTGTCTCGAAAAAAAAAACAAAAAAAACCCCCAAAAAACCAAATGCATTATTTGAGCACAGTGCCTGGGCCTGGGATTCCCCCCTTCAACACCAGTGATGAGATACCTATGGCAGGTTACTTAACCAACCCACGCCTCAGTTTCTGCTTCTTTAGATCGGAAATAACTTAATGGCTAATATGAGGGTTGACTGACCTTAGACAAGTTACTTACCTCTGCTAGTACTTCAGTCTCTTATCTACAAACCCTACTAAAAAGCACTGCTATGAACATTAATACATGGGTACATGGAAGCTACTTATGGTAGACACTATCTATACATAGAGCACAAAAAATGTGGCCTTGTAGTCAGATGTAGTAGCACATGGATGATAATCCTTGAATTTGGGAAGCCAAACCTTGTCTTTGTTTTATATACTTATTTACTTTGTTTTTTTTGGAGACAGGGTTTCTCTGTATTGCTTTGGAACCTGTCCTAGAACTCACTCTGTACATTAGGCTGGCCTTGAACTCACAGAGATCCACCTGCTTCTGCCTCCCTCCCGAGTGCTGGGATTAAAGGTGTGCACCACCAATGCCCTGTTTTGTTTTTAATTTTAAGATTTTTAAAAAATAATTTTTATTTAAATTAGAAACAAGCTTGCTTCACATGTCAATCCCAGGTTCCCCCCCCCCGTCTCCACTCCATTCCCCAGGGAGGGTGAGGCTCTCCATGTGGAATCTCCAGAGTCTGTCATTTCATTCAGGGCAAGGCCTAGGCCCTCCCCAAAGTGTCCAGGCTGAGAGAGCATCCCTCATTGTGGGATGGGCATGCAAAGTCCATTTGTGTGCCAGGTATAAATACTGATCTACTACCCAAATGGGGTTTGTCTGTGTAACAGCTATGGCTGTCCTAGAAATCACTTTGTAGACCAGGCTGGCTTTGAATTCAGAGATATGCCTGCCTTTGCTTCACAAGCGCTAGGATTAAAGGTGTGTGCCACCACTGCCACCACCCCACGACCCAGTTAGGGGGTAGCTCAGTGTCTGCCTGGTGTGTACAGGACCTGGGCAGCTCTCAGCGTACCTAAATAAAGAAGAGTGGGGGCTGAGCATGCTGACATAGATCTTCAATCTCAGTGCTCCTTTGAGTCCTTGGCCAACTTGGTGTACATTTGGAGAATTCCAGGCCAGCCAGGGCTACATAGTGAGACACGGTCTCAAAATAAAACCTAAAGCAGAACAGCACAGTATGTTTGACAAGCAGATGGTGCCTGGTGTGAAAACCACTGGCTGCTTACTGGTCAGGCTGAGTCCAGTTAGACAGACCCTAGAATTGAGGAAAAGTCTCATGTGGGGCCCAGAGTACTGATGACAGAGTTTCAGAGAGATCTTAGAAACAGGATGGAGATAATGTTGGGAGATACTGGAAGGCAGGAAGAGGCACAAAAAAATAGCAAGGTAACCACTCCACAGTTAGGAAAAGTTGTTTCCATTTAATGCTAGACTTTCAAGGATTGAGATGCAAGCCTTTATGCAATTACATCCAATGTTAAAATTGGTAATACATAATTTACAAAGATTAACATCAAAACAATCATCTATTTAGATATGCTTTTCTGTAAAAAGGAAATATATTAGCAGCATTTATATTTTCCGCAATCACACAGCCTACAGACATGCAGACTAACTGTATCTATTTGCAGTGATGTAGTGCTTTGCCCCGCATTTCAAAGACCAAAACCCACCTGGCAGCTGGGGGTTGTTTTTGTTATTATAAAATAACTGAAAAATAAAAAAGGCATTAATTTCTACACCAGTAAGAAAAACAAGTTTTTGCACTTACCTAACATTTGATTGTCTAAAAACATTTCGGTTTTTAATCTTTCAACAAAAGAAAGATAAAATGACAGCATAGTGTCTTTTGCTTCTGTTCTTACATTTTACAAAGTTTTTTCTTTTTTAAAATTTTAGTGTTTCACACTACTAAAGGAAAACATTGAATTTAAGCTCTTTCTTGTCATTTTCTTGCTTTTGACTAAAAGGAGACCCTCAAAGTGCCCTTAGTCCTACCTCCCTCCCACCCGCTCCCTGCAACGAGAAACAAAAGAAACCACTCAGATGGGCTTGGACATGCGATCCCGAGCTCCACACGTGAGTATCTTATACCCAGGTCTCGTGGTAATGTACAATGCTTCTCTACAGTAAGAAAATACTCCAAACTATTTTCTTAATTTCTCTTTTTTCTTTAATAAAATATTTTGCTTTTTCTCTGCTCAAGGGGATCTATGGCATCCCCCTTCTCTCTTTTTTTCCCTTAAGAATAACACAGAAAGGAGAAAAAGAAAATCAGTGGAATGAAAGTGGTCAAATGCTTCTACCTAGATGGTCAGAGCGTCGTCATCATAAGGGGAAGGAAATGTACAGTCAGGACATCATTGGTCCAGCATCAGAAAAGAGTAATGAGAACATGTTTACTAATGTATTGCTTACAATCCCACAGCGCGCGCGCGCGCGAGCACACACACACACACACACACACACACACACACACACACACACACACACACACTTGGCACATTTAAAAACCATGTTTTCTCTTATAAGAACATCTAAAATGTATATGCATATGTATTTGAATTTTATTTGTAAAGGAGACAGTATGGTTTGTGAACTTCTGGTCAAGAGACTGGGAGGGAAGGAGACCCTGGATATACCTCCTGATGATGATGTCATCCAGAAAGGTGGAAGGGAGTCAGAACTAGTGGTGAGGAAACAGACACTGGAAACTATACAATTAAGAAAGTAAGAGTAGTGTTTTCATCAATTGATAATCTACAACCAACACTCTGACAGTGAACACTGCTCAACAGTTTTGTAGTGAGTTTCATTAGAGGAGAAGTTTAGAGTTTTTATGTAGTTTGAAAAAGTGTTTGTTTTTTGAAATAAATCTTTGTGCACAGCACAGCAGACACACAAGAAGAGAAGCAGCGTGTGCGCTGACGGGGCTTGGCTTTCTCAGTAGGAAAAAATACGTTGGGCAGGTTATGAAGGGTAAAACAAAAATAATTACAAATACTGCCCTTCTGACCCCATAGGGGTCTCTCCTACCCCCGGATACTATTGATTCTATTTTGGGGGTAGAGGTGTGGAGAGTGGCAGCAGTTCTAAGTGCTTTGACCTGGCTGGGTAAGAAGGAAGAGAGAACTTTCCTGACCCAAGGAACTTAGGAGAGGCCCCACTAAGACATCTGTTTTAGGTCTCTGACATAGCTCTTAGAGCTAAAAGAGAAAAAATGGGATAGGCCTGGGATCCAGGTCCTTCCGTTTGGAGTTTGAATTTACACCTGGTCATAGGAAGCAGCATTCTTAGTGCTTGCAGGGTCAGAGTGCAGCCTGGAAAAACTCAAACTGAGGAGTATCAAGTGCCGGAAAGTCCCAACAGCTTCTGGCTATCCCTAGTGTGGTCCTCCTCTCTACAGCAGCCGTGGGATGAAGCCATCAAGAGGAGAAGTAAACTCAGCTGCCTCAGACAAGCCTACTTCCTCTCCCTCTCCACTAGCTCCAAGGTTTAGTAAGTACCTAATGTCAAAGATGTGACCACATTCCCCCTGCCTGGACGGAATTTTACCGCCCCTGTCCACACTCAGAGAGCAGGAGCCCGGACTTCTTGGCTTCACTGGATCCCAGATGCTCCAAGTTCTCGTTCCTTTGAGAGTCACTTCCGAAAGCTGTTTTCTGGTATAAACAAAGTGCGCCTTCGCAGTTTCCTGCCAGATCCTTCCTCCAGAAGGTAGGTCACATCAATGGCTGAAAAAAGAACCAAAGGCCATCAAATACCACTCTCTACACCTCCATCTGGATTTGCACTCTACAGAGAACTCAATGGTGCAATTATTTTACTTTTTCTGGCCTAATGCAATTAGGTCTTTCTCTAGTCCTAAATTTTTGTTTTCATGCTGCCACCACCCCCACCCTCCCCGCCAAAAAGAAAGACGCCATCTCGGCTTGGCCCTGTGCTGAAGACACGACTAAGGCATGTTTAAGAACAAAGGCATTTTCTTGGAACATGTTCCACACTGGTGTAGTAATCTGAAGTTGTTCTGGTACTAGGTTTATTTTCCAATACAACACACACACATGCAAACACACACACTGAAGCACACATATAGTTTTCTTACTACTTTTCCATTTACTTCTCACCTGTCTTCAAGCCTAATTATGAGCCCGCATCTTAACATTTTTTAAATGACTTAATTTATTTCTATTTTACCTGCATTGGTGTTTTGTATGCATGTATGTCTGTGTGAGTGTGTCAGATCCTCTGGAACTGGAGCTACAGACAGTTGTGAGCTGCCATGTGGGTGCTGGGAATTGAATCTGTGACATTTGGAAGAGCAGCCAGTGCTCTTAACCACTGCACCATATTTCCAGCCCCAAGTCTTACCATTTTTCCCAGGGATTTTCTCAAGGAGGCTGAGCAAGATCTGGTTGAGCCGTTCCCGTTGGCTGTGCTTTCTCTCCTCAGGCGTGCTGGCTAGCTGGGGCTCCTGACTACTTTCCTCTGGTTTCTGTCCATTGTCACTTATGTCGGCAGGGACTCTTTCCTGCTCTGGCTCCTCAGGGCTGGGCGTCTCACTGGCTGCTGGCTCCTGACTGGCCAGCACGTCTTCAATCAAGGGCAAAGCATCATCTTCTTGTCCTAGGTCTTTTAGGGGTGGCTTTGAGCGATCAGACTTCCAGGATGATCTGCCAAAAAGATATGTGAGTTCAGGGCGAGGCTGAGTAAGTCACTCGGACAGGGTGGGATAATGAAAGCTAGAGGCTAAGGATGGCTTGAGACCCTGGAGTCTGCTTATTATGGCCTTGGCTTGAGTTAAAAAATCCGAATGTCAGATTAGTACAAACCATCACTTTCCTCTGAATTTAATTTTCCCTTTATGTTAGTACTTGTGTAAACTAGGCTAGTGCTCTACCACTCAGAAACGAACTTCATTTCGATTTGTAAAATTAAACCTTTCTTCTTGATCTCAGAAATCTGAAGCAAAAATGGGATAGAACCCCATAAAACATACCAGGCCTGGGAAAGCTGCTGAGGTGCTGTTGACTGACTCACGCAAAGGAAGGGAACACAGCCTGCGATATCCAGTCAACCACAATAGGGTCTAAGTGGAGTTTACTTTTCTGTGTTACCTATTATTTCTTCACTTTTTATAGTTATGGAGAAAGCAGTGGGTAGTCACCATCTTTTAAATTATGTGTGTATGCACATGAGTACAGGTGCCCATGGAGGCCAGGAGAGGTGTTGGATCCCCTGGAGCGGGATTTACAGGTGGCCATGAACAATCTGACATGGGTACAGTGAACAGAACTTATGTCCTTGACAAGAACAGCACAGGTTCTTAACCACTGAGTCACTTCTACAGCCCAAGTAGTGGCTATTTATGCTCTTACCTGACAGACAATAGAAAAGCATGAGGAACATCCTTCTCATTTACAAAACAAGCAAAAATCTAAACTGCTAAGCTCACACTGCTCAGTGCAAAGTGTGCAATACTGACTCAACCTCTTTAATAGAGGCATCAAAAGGAGACAGACCATCATGTTATAGAGAGAAAGAGGGATCCTGAGTCCATCTGCAGCTCTGGCTCTAAGCTTTCTTTCTTTCTCCTCTAAGGGTGTGTAATGGGACTAACACCTTGCCCATTTCAGTGATGGCATTACTCAGGGCTACCTACAGAGAACAGCTTTCTGGCTCTACATTAGCTCTTGGCTAACCCCTTAGGAACCCTCACATTCTTCTAGGACTCACCGCCCTCCGTTCCTCTTGTAGTTGTCTGGGACATAATGAGGCTGCAGAAAAAAAAAGGGGGGAGCACATTAATGCTGGATCTGATCTGGGGACACTAGGGTAAGGAAGGCAATTTGGATGACTTATTTATTTGTATCTCTTTCTTTATGGGTAGGTTATTAGGATGCTGATACTTTCCTCTCTCTGCCTATCTCTTTTTTTTAACTTCCACAAGGCAAATGGCTTTCTCTGTCACATGCTCCTGCTATGATATACTGTGTTGTTAGAGGACCACAGCAGTTACTCTAAGAAACCTTGGGATGAAACCTCTGTAAACCAGAATAAAGCTTCCCTTCTTTTAAGCAGATCACCCCAGGACATCTACCATAATAACAGAAAGCTGACTACCACTCTCACTTTAAAAGAAGGCACAGGATGAGGTGTCACCTGGGATTTCAAAATAACAAAGAGATGACAATGACCAAAATCCTATGCAGTTGAACCAAAATCACTGGTCAGTGTTTTCAACAACTAGAAAAAATACCCAGGAAGGAGATGAGAATGAAAATGCAAACATGAGCAAGTATTCCATCATCAAGCTACTTTCCAGATTACATTTAACGATCTTGTCTTCTATTTAAAATTATTTATTTAGTGTGCTATGTTTGTATATGTGAGCACCACAGCTCATGTGTGAAGGGTTCTCTCCTACTATGTGGGTTGTGGGATCAAACTCAGGTCTTCATGGTCTGAGGCAAGTGCCCTTATCCACTGAGCCATTTAGTCCACTCCCATATCTTATGCTCCACCCTTTTTTTTAATACAAGGACTCACTATGTAGCCCTGGCTGCCCTGGAACTTGCTACATAGGCCAGGCTGGCCTCAAATTACAGTGCTCAACCTGCCTCTGCATCTGAAGGGCTGCCACTAATGGCCTGTGTTTTCATGCCTTACATTTTTTAGTCAGACATAAAAGAGAATAAGCATCAAAGGATATTTTTAGAGTTAGGATTTTTTGGAGCTCAACATAAGCCTAGGCCACATAATGGCTTTGAGGCAAACTAGATTACAGTAAGACCCTGTAACATAAAAATAAGAAGATTTTTCAGGGATACTATCATTTTATGTAATTATGTATATATTTATGTATGCATTTATTGAGACAGGGTCTCACTATGTACCCCTAGTTGGTATAGAACTTGCTATGTAGATCAGTCTGGCCTTGAACTCACAAAAATCCATCTGTCTCTGCATCCCAAGTGCACCACCACACCTGGCATTTAAAAATTATGAATATGCAAAAAAGGAAGATGTAGATGGATGGGGAGAATACTCAGGAGGTAGGAGCACTCACCATACAAGCATGAGGACCTGAGTACTCAAATAAAGAAGCAGGGTGTGGTCCAGTGCTGGGTGTTGGGGCAAAGACAGTAGGATTACTGGAGTTTGATGGCTATTAGCTCCAGGTACAGTGAGATACCCTGTCTCAAGACATTAGTGTGGAGAGCAGTAGAACAAGGAAGCCAGTCTCCTCTGGCCTTCTCACCTGTACTTGTACATGTGTATACTCACTATACATATTATTGTAAAAAAAGAAAAAAAAGGAAAGAATAGGGAGGCCTCACCGTGTCACACATGTAATTCCAGCACTCAGGAGATAGAGGCAAGAGAATTAAAAATCCAAGGTCAGCTGAGCAAAGTGATGAGATCCTGCCTCAAAACAAAACAAAAAAACAAAAAAACAACAACAACAAAAAAGGTAACTTACTGAGAAATCTCTTTTGGGAGTGAGCTTCTTGGGGAAATGATCAAAGGCATAGGGTTTGGTGCAGACAGGATATCGATTCCGATGGATCTTGTAAAACAGGTGTGCTGACTTGTCAAGTCGGTAATCACAGATGTATACATCTTGTTCCTTTACTCCCTTAGGTCTCCCTGTAAATTCAAACACGGTTACAGAATCTGACTTCTTAGGCCAGAGAGATGGCTCAGCTGCTAAGAGTATATGCTGCTTTTACAAAGAACCAGAGTTTGGTTCCCAGTACCCAGGTGAGATGGCTCATAATTGTCTGTAACTGCAGCTCCAGGGGATTTTACACCCTCCCTTTGGCCTCTGAAGGCACCAGTACTCACATAAAGATACCTACACATCACCACATTATTAAAAGTAAAATAGATCTAAAGAGTGGTGGTGCACACCTTTAATTTTAGCGAGGCAGGAGGATCTCTGAGTTCAAGTCCAGAGAGGTCTGTCTGGTCTACAAAGAGAAACCCAGTCTCAAAAACAACAAAAAGAAAGATCTGAAACAAACATCAGTAAATCTGACTTTCCTTTGTCCCCCGAAGCAGCCCAGTGGACAACTATCTCTGAGAGAGGAGACAGACCCACGAAGAGGAGAGACTATCGCCACTGGGAAAGGCTGGAAAAACAAGCATTTTGTGGTTGGAGAAGAAAGAGTTTTTAAGCACTCATATCCAAAAGGAGATGGAACATAGCAGTGGAATGGAATAACAGAATGTAAAAACCCTCAGAAATGTAGAGTGAGTGTTGCCGGGATTTTTGAGCAAATACTCTGAGGAAAAGAATGGTTCATGGGAAGTCATGAGGAAGGCAGAGTCACGAATGTGAAGAAACATGCTAGAAAGCTGATCCTTTCCTAATCACAGAGCCGTGAGCAGTTTGTAAGTGTGGAACACAATAGTTACTGCTGTCAAGATTCTGCTACGATAATGAAATAAAGATACAGGCAACTAAATTCTCACCAATCATGGTACAAACACACATCAAAGTAGCCATAAACTAGAGCATTTGTATATATTTGATCTTTGTAAAACTCAGAAAAATCTGGTTTCCAGTTAAGGAAACTTATGCTTGTTTAAGTATATAAGTAGTAAAATGTGATGCACCTGGATTTTGAAATTAATATTTTAAAATGTTGGAGCTGGGTGGTAATAGCGTTGGCACACACCTTTAATCCCAGCCCTTGGGAGGTAGTCAGGTGGATCTCTGAGTTTGAGGCCAGCCTGGTCTACATAGTGAGTCTCAAGCCAGCCAGGGACACACAGAGAAGCCCTGTCTGAAAAGAGGAAGAAAAATAAAGTTGGGACCAAGAGCTTGCCAACAAACCTGATGACCTGAGTTCAATCCACCAAACTCACCTGAAAAAAGGGGAGGGGGGGAAGTGATTTTAAGTGCTAAGCACTAAGTAAAAGAAAAGGGACTGTCTCAGGGAAGCTCACACCAACTCTTTCTGAGTACCTCCCTCCCTTCATCCTTGTGTTTACACATTAGAATACCTTTATTAGGTGGGTATGGTGGTGCACATACACCTGTCTGTAATCTCAGGCAGCTGGATCTGACTTTGGAATTGAAGCCAGTCTAGTATACATAGTGAATTCTAGGCCAGGGTAGCATAGTAAGATCCTATTGCAAAGTGGATGAATGAAAAATAAATAAGTAGATGTGTTTTGCCTGTATATATGTATATGTACCATGTGTATGCCTGGTACCCATAGAAGCCAGAAGTGCTGGGTCCCCTAGAACTGGAGTTATAGATGGTTCTGAGCTGCCATGTGGGTGCTGGGAACTGAACTTGGGTCCTCTGTAAGAGCAGCAAGTTCTCTTAACTGCTGAGCTCTCTCTCCAGTCCCAAAGACCACCTCTCAACAAGCCTTCATCATTTACCTTTACAATATGTATAAAGGTCCAACACACAGCAGGTCCCAACTACAGCCTCCAAGGGAATGATCTCATAGAGTGGCACCCGAAATAGCTCATTGTGATAGAACCGACGGGATGGAGAGTGGTGGGTTTCATGGGGGCGGAAATAATGGTGACCAAAGGCAAACCGTTCCTCTCTTTAAAAAAAAAAAAAAAAAAAAAAAAAGGGAAAATGAGAAAGGAGAGGTTAAGTCTACGAGTAAGACTCCAGTGCATACTCCACTTTCCTGGAGGACACAGCTGGAAGAAGAGAGGACCCAGCACATACTTTTCATTCTTCCAAAGCTTCTCGATTCTAAAGATGTCAAGTTTATCTCGGTTAATGTGTGATAACAGTCTGTAGGACTGTCGGACTGGATGGCCATCAGGTGTGCGTCGGCTGTCCCTCATCAGGTACACACAATCACCTAGGAAGGCACAGAACAAAGGAGAACATTAGCATTGACCATGAATGTATTCCTTAAGGCATCCTTTAATCTGATCCAGGGTCTAAAACAATATGGAGAGGGCAGGCAGATAGCCCAGTAATTAAATGAGCCAAGACCCAGGTTCAATACCAAGTACTACAAAAGAGATCAAGAGAAAATAAAAGTAGCAGCCTTATGGCAACTATTATCAATTCTAATTACAGAAGGCCCTCTTTATTTTTCTGTACTTTCTCTTTATTAAGTTTATTATTACTTTGTTTTTATTTTATTTTATTTTTTGGTTTTTACGAGACAGGGTTTCTCTGTATTGTTTTGGAGGCTATCGGTCCAGCCCGGCCTTCAACTCACAGTGATCTGCCTGCCTCTGCCTCCCAAGTGCTGGGTTTAAAGGCCTGCGCCACCACTGCCCGGCTATTACTTTATTTTGAAGATGGGCCTTACTATGTAGCCCTGGCTGGCCTAGAATTCAATAAGTAGACCAGGCTCCAGATGGGTTAAAGACCTTGTGACAGCACACCTGCTCTACTAGGTTAAAATGACTATAGAGACCTTGGACACAGCTTGGTTGTAAGGTGTTCAACTACCATGTTTGAAGCTCTGGGTCAAATACCAGCACAGCAAAGAAACAGACAAAGTAAAACTAGTATAAGTCAGGCTGTTGTAGAATAGCATTAGTATTATTTTGGTTTTTTGAGACAAGGTTTCTCTGTTAACAGCCCTAGTTGGCTGGCCTTGAACTCACAGAGATTCACCTGCCTGTCTGGGATTAAAGGCGCACACCACCACTGCCCAGGTAGAATATTATCTTAAGGTGTGCTACATTTGTTTATGCTCTGGAACATTTGTTTAACCATAAAGATGTGTTACTTTTGTTTATGCTGCATTTGTTTAACTTTGTGAAGCTATAATTCTTTGTCTGTCTAAGACACCTGATGTAAAGAGCTCACTGGCCAATAGTGAGGCAGGAGAGAGGATAGGCAGTGCTGGCAGGCAGGGAGTATAAATAGAAGGAGAAACAAGGAAGGAGCAAGACAGAACAAGGAGAGGAGGATAGCAGGGGCCAATCACCCAGCCAGCCAAGGAGTAGGAGTGAAAGTAAGATTTCACTGAAGCAAGAGAAAGGAAAAAGCCCAGAGGCAAAAGGTGCATGGGTTAATTTTAGTTAAGAAAGGCGAGCTAAAATGAGCCAAGCTAAGGTTGAGCATTTATAAGAAATAGTAAGTCTCCATGTGTGTGATTTATTAGGGAGTTGGGTGGCAGGACCCCTCCCCCGCAAAAAAAAGAGTCAAAAGACCAAAGAGCTAAGAATAAAAAAATAAAAAAAACATCAGGCAGGGTAAGCTAATGCCTATTATCCCACACTTGGGAGGCAGAGGTAGGGGGATCGCCACGAGTTTGAGGCCCAGTCTGAGCTGTAGTCTGAAAAAAAAAAAAAAACAGTAACAACAAAACAAGACACAAACAACAACAACAACACACAAGCAACCAAACAAAAGCGACCAAGCCAAGGAGAGGGACTCACAAGGCCTCACCATCCCAGAGGACTACAGACAGTTAATGGTTGCTCGGGAAGTGGGGTGCAGAGTCACAGTCCTCAGAGAAAAGCCTATAGTAAGCTTCCCTTGCTAAAGTACATGATATCCTTCTACCCATGCTCATGTAGATAGTTCTAATGAAATGCAGTAGAACACACACAGTAGGGACTTTTGAGAAGGGGTTTGGTGGAAGGGGTAAGGAGATTAAGAGAGGATAATGGTAAAGGGGAAAAAAGCCTTCAAATAAAAATAAAATTAGCTTTGTAAGGCTGTTTCTACAAATTGGTATATATGTTAGAAGCAGAGTAATGATGAGTTTAAGGGTGTCTATTCAAGGCCATGCAGGCTGATAACCACCACGCACAGAGCCTAGACTTCCCACTACTCAGGAAGGTCAGTGGGATTTGGGCCTCTGTACTTACCCTGACGAAGCAGCAAGTCATCTCGGAGTAAACAGATGAAATAGACACAGCCAGGTTGGGCATAGTGGGGCCGAGGGATCATGGGTACCTCCTGAATAGCAGAAAGTCAATGGAGAAAGGCTAGAATTATTACACTTGGTCTAATGATCTCAATTTGATAGAGGGAAAGAACTAAAACTTAAAAGTTTCCGTTTAAGTCAGGTGGTTGTGGTGCACACCGTTAGTCCCAGCACTTGGGAGGCAGAGGCAGACAGACAGATCTCTGAGTTCAAAGCCAGCCTGGTCTATAGAGCTAGTTCCAGGACAGCCAGAGCTGTCACACACAGAATCCCTGTCTCAAAAAACAAAAAGAAAACTAAAAAGAAATGTTGCCTAAATCCTTCTTTTTGTGGAGATGACTTAATCAAGATCATAATACACATTTATTTTTTTTTGTGTCAATCTTTTTTTTATTGTCTTTTATTTATTTATTTTTCAGTTTAAATTTAGATAAGAAACAAGGTTGCTTCACAAGTCAGTTCCAGGTCCCTCTCCCTTTCCCTCCCCTCCTCCCGTGCCCCCCCCCATAATACACATTTATTGATTTACTGTGTGTGAATATATGTATGTGTATGTGCTTGCCATAGCACTATGTGGAGGTCAGAGGATAGTTTGCTCTTTCTTTCCACCATGTGGATTCCTGGAATGAAACCCAGGTTTTGAAGCTTAGTAGCAGGAGCTTTTATCCACTGAGCCTAAGTGGATAAAATGACAGCCCAAGACCACACATACACACAGAGCAGTACCAAGACCAGAAGGCATCCAACCTGGTCAAGTCACTGACTCTTACTTCAGTAAATAACTCTGAGTCAAGGGCTGTTTTCAACACAACACTACCTGACAGAAACAGCACTTAGAACTATGTCTCTCCTACTGAGAGACTAAGGCAAGATAAGGGTGAATTTGGAGATAGCCTGGGCTACAAAGTGAGCTCCTAACTCCGAAACAAATCTTAATTTTTTATATAGTACCCTTTCTCTTCTCTCTCTTTTTTTCCCTTGAAGACTGGCCTCAAAATCAGAGATCCACTTGCCTCTGACTCCCCATTGCTGAGATTAAAGATGTGCACCACGCTCCGCTCAGTCTTACACAGTGTCATTTCTTTCATAGGTCCTAAGTATTTTATTTCCCATTGGTCACACTCGTGAGAAAAGGACAGGCAAGAATTGCCCCCTCAGTGTAAAGATGAGGCATGGAGAGGTTGAACGAGTCTGAGTAGGAGGATCACATGCCACTTTTAACTGTGGATTAGCTTACCCTGTCCACAGGCCGAGGGTCACACTGCTCACAAAGATAGTGCTCCACGTCTGTGTTCACACCCATGCAGTCGCAGTGCTGCCACACCTACAAACACAGGCACACTTGACAAGGGGGTCACACTTAGTGAGAGAAGCCCCAAGAAATAATAATGATAGTGACACAACACAACAGGACAGGGCAAAGGAAAAGAGAAATAAAGCCCTAAGAGGATGAGTGAGAAGTAGAAGTAAATGATAAAATGATAAATGATAAAATAAGAGGTAAAACAATGTCTGAGGGCTGGAGAGATGGCTCAGAGGTTAAGAGCACTGGCTGCTCTTCCAGAGGACCTGAGTTCAAGTCCCAGCACCCACATGGTGGTTCACAACCATCTGTAATGAGATTTGGTGCCCTCTTCTGGCATGCAGGCAAAAATGCAGACAGAACACTGTATATGTAAGAAACAAATTTAAAAAAATGTCTTAGTAAAAGTATACACATCAATTCTAATACACAGATCTGGCCAAATAAAATGGAAGATGAGGAGAGAAAATGAAGATAAATATACTATGCAACTATCACTTGCTATGTAATGCTATTAATGCTACAGTTACTATGAAAGGGTCTATACTCATAAAGAATTACCCCTGAGGCTTACTTGACTTTATCCTCTCAAGAATCTCATGTACTATTCATAGCCCCATGAGCAAATAAACTAACAAGTGCACAGGTATGCAGAACTCGACAAGTTGAGTCCAGGCCATGGCTTTTTCCAGTGGGAGCCATCCGTGGATGAACTCAGATACAATGGGATCTACCTGTATTCACGTTCAAGATAAAGCACTATAACAAAACACTACCCTCCTAAGTACAGATTTTACGAGAAACGTACGGTTAAAATGGGCAGAAAGCAGCAGGAAGGAAGACATAAATGAAAAATAAAAAGGGAGAAGACTAAATGATAGGATAAACAAAAGCTGTGCTAAGTTACAGTTCATAAAAAGCCTGCACTTCAAATCCAAGGAAGAACCATGAGCTGACATCAGGACCAGGCTTCTGCATGCCCTGCCAACACTCACCATGCACTTGTCACACTGGATCATGAGGCCCTCATCCTTGTAGAGGCCACAGATGCATCGGATGACATCATCGTCCTTTTCATGCCCATTGTCCTTTTCAGAGACCGAGGTCTCACTGCTGTCTGCCTCACTTGCTGTTTCTCCCACAATTTCATCGATTTGAGCTGATGCCTCATGCCGGGCATTGTAATAGGCCTTTCGTAAGCGGCAAACATCCCTCCCAATTGGGGATTTACGCCCATAGTACTTCTGAAGAAAGGAAAAAAAAAAAAAGATCATTTTTTGTTCTTTTCATTTTGGCTTACAAATATACCTGCAGAGGCAGCATGATTTTCTTTATTCTCCCATTTTGGCTAACAAATTGAACTATAATGAATCAAAATTAGAATTTAGATAGTATGCTTTGCTATTGAATACCTGTCAAGGTCATTAAATTTCAATTACTGTTGCAAACATAATATATTGCAGAAATTTTCCATTTGCCTTTGTTTTGCAAATTCTTGGAGCACATAGTAAATGTCTATGGAATCTGGGTTTTAATAGAAACTATGTTCTAATTCAAGACTGCTCTAATTATTCTCCTACATCCTAATTTCCCTCTCATTTTGTCTTTCAGTCTGTACCGCAATGGCCTGTTCTGCTCTCCAAAGTATCTCAAAGTCACTGGGGAATCGCCTTTGTTAAGCTACTACATAGCATTTCATTTATACTCTAGGCTTGCTTTTGGAGGTAGGCTCTTACTTACAGCCTGGTCTCAACTCAAACTTGAGCTGACCTTCTTGCCTCAGTCTTTCAAGTGCTAGGATTACAGGAATGAGCCGCCATGCTTGGTCTCATATGTACATATTTTCATGAACAAAGATATGACAGGTATACAATAAATTGGTAAAAATATACAATATAAATGTTCAGTGTAAAATTAGAATTTTACAAGGATTATAGTTTTTGACAAATGACTTAATTTTCCATTCCAGAATTTTCTGTGTCTGTGTGTGCGTGTGTATGAGCATGTGTGCCTGCCTGCCTTCCTGTTTGTGTAGGTCACAGGAAGAGCTTAGGTATCATCCTAAAGAATCCTGTCCACTTTTTTTTTTTAATGTGCATTGGTGTTTTGCCATGTGTGTCAGGAACTCTGGAACTGGAGTTACAGACAGTTGTGAGCTGTCATGTGGGTGCTGGGAATTGAACCCAGGTCCTATAGAAGAGCAGCCAGTGCTCTTGCTCACTGAGCCATCTGTCTAGGCCCCCACTTCACCTTCTTTTGACTTGGAGTTAACCAGTTAGAATGGAATGGATGGCCAGTGAGCCCCAGGATTCTCTTGTCTCTGCCTCCTCATCTCTGCGACTGCAAGGGCACACCACCACACCTGGCTTTTCTTTTTAGATAGGGTCTCATTATGTAGCCCTGGATAGCTTAAAACTCACGCTATAGATTACAGAGATCCATTTGCCTCTGCCTCACTCATGCTGGGGTTAAAGGTGTGTGACACTGTATCTGGCCATAGTTGGCATTTTCACATATATTTTGGGGATCAATACTTGTACAGTGTAAGTATGTTTACTGATTGAGTTAATTTGTTAAATTAAAGCATTGTTATTGCTATGTGGGCGCATATATGCCATGGCATGCATATAGATCAGGTAATGCCTTAGCAGAGTTAAGTTCTTTTCTTCTAACATTACACTGTGGTTTCTGGGAACAAAGTCAGGCTGCTAGATTGTACAGTAAGCACTTCTGCCTGAAGAGCAATCTTGCTGACTGAGAACCCACCCCACCACCTCTGTCAAACAGGAACTTACTGTAAGGAATTCTCTGTAGACCAGGCAGCCTTTGAACTTACAGAGATCTACCTGCATCTGCGTTCCAATGCTGGGAGTAAAGTTATACATCACTATATTTGACCAGAATTTCTTTAAGGATTTATTTTTAGGTACATTAGTATTTTTCCTGCATGGCTATCTATCTGTGTAAGAATGCCAGATTCCCTAGAATTGGAGTTACAGACAGTGTGAGCTGCCATGTGGTTGTTAGGAATTGAACCTGGTTACTCTGGAAGAGCAGCCAGTGCTCTTAACTGCTGAGCTATCTTTCCAGCCTGGCCAGAATATTTTTAATAAATGGGATGTTACGTTATTTTGCACAATGTAATGCATAGTCAAAGAGTGCTTAAAGAAAATGACTTGTTTTGGGTGTGGAGAAATGGCTCAGTAATTAAGAGTACTACTGCTCTTTTTTTTTTTTTTTTTTTTGGTTTTTCAAGACAGGGTTTCTCTGTGGCTTTGGAGGCTGTCCTGGAACTCACTTGGTAGTCCAGGCTGGTCTCGAACTCACAGAGATCCGCCTGCCTCTGCCTCCCGAGTGCTGGGATTAAAGGCGTGCGCCACCAATGCCCGGCTACTAGCTGCTCTTATAGAGAAGGTTCAGTTCCCAGCACCCACACATCAAGGCTCACAACCATCTCTAACTCCAGTTCCATTGGATCTGATGCTTTCTTCTTCCCTCAGTGCACACTGCACACATATGGTGCATAAACATATATGCAGGTAAAACACTGATGCAAAAGTTAAAAAAGATTACTGTCAAGTTGATAAGACGGCTCAGCAAGTAAAAAGGTACTCGCTGCTAAGCCTGATAACCAGAGTTTGATCCTCGGGACCCACATGCTAGGATGATGGAACCGATGCCTCCACATACATGCTGTGATATGTATATGCTCACACAAAACAAACAAACAGATGCAGTAATTAAAACAAAATTACTGTATTTCCTAACACGAAACTTAAACTCTTCAGACCAAACTTCTTAAGTTTGTGCTTGATGTTAGCAAATACCTCAGCATTTCGAAAGACCTTGAGCATGTCAGCGTCAAAAGCTTCCACTGTTTTGTAATACCCAGTAAGTATCTGCTTTTCTATGGTGCTGAGATCCAGGGGGTCAGAGATCTTCTCATAATAGTCAGCGTTCCTGAAACAAAAAGCAGGCTGTCAAGTTGGTGCACAACCCTCCACTGAGCTCTGCAAGGCTATCACAAACATGTACTTACTTTTTCTTTGGGGGAAGATTCAAAAGTGGAGCTGCAAGGGTTTGCTGGGAAGAATCTGCAAAAGAATACAAGGTTTAGCACACACATGCTAAAAGACAAGGATGAACCTTAGCCAGCTTGCTTGCCTGCTGCCTTTCTTCAACTTGAGGTGGAGGTCTTATTTTGTTGTTTAAACTGGTCTAGAACTCATTGCTTAAAAGAGTAGCTTGAATTACAACCACCTATCAGTTCACTTGGCTTATATTATTTTACTAAAATTTATCTTTTTCTTGCTCAGATGTGATGGTCCATGTTAGTATTCAGGCATCCGTACTGGCCGGTCCTTGGGGTTGTGACAGGACACATGCCTACCTCCCAATTTTTTTTTTTTTTAAAAAGAGGGTAAGCCTTTAATTCCAGCACTTGGGAGGCAGAAGGGAGTTCGAGGCCAGCCTGGTCTACAGAGCAGTTCCAGGATAGCCAGGACTATTACACAAGAGAAACCTTGTCTTGAAAAACAAAACAACACAAACCAACCAAAAAAGAGGATGCAGAGTTAAGAGCCCTGGCTGCTTTTGAAGAGGATTCCCAGAATCCATATGGCAGCTCACAACTGCCTGTAAAGCCCGTTCCAGGGAATCCAATGTCCTTTTCTGTCCACTGCAGGCAACAGGCATGCATGTGGTACACAGATCACAGGCAAAGCCTCCCATACACATGAAAATGAAAAAAAAATCTAAAATCTTTTATCTGTTAACAACTATCAGAAGAACAAATCCATCCCCTAAATTCCTAATCCTACAGTGTTGCTGGTTCTTGAGGTGTGGGGCTTCTCAGGAGAGGGTGAGTGAGACGCATACCTTTGTAAGAGATGATACCATCACAGATCTCTTTGAAGATCTGTGCTAGGCGAGCTGCCCGAGCCACTTCCAGGTTTTCCTCCGCAGCTGCCAAGCGTCTTGTTCGAACAGATCTTGCTGTCTGCAGGGCAGAGAACTGGGTCATGAAGACATCTGCAAAGAGAAGGTGACAAGCAGTTTTAGGAAATGACTAATTTGATGATCTTTTTCTTTGCCAGTTGACTCCCGGCATTTTTTTTTTTTTTTTTTTTTTTTGGAGACAGGGTTTCTCTGTAGCTTTGGAGCTTGTCCTAGAACTCGCTCTGCAGACCAGACTGGCCTTGAACTCACAGACATTTGCCAGTCTATGCTTCCTGAGTGCTGGGATTAAAGGCGTGCGCCACCATTGCCCAGCTTGACTCCTGTCATTTTTTCTTTCTATTTTCCTTTAGGACATTAAGTAGAATTAGTGGGCAGGTAGTTGTTTCTCTTCCCCTAGATAAAAACTAGAGAACACTAGTGTTTATATATAGTGGGGTAAATGCTACATAGTGTAGTAGCTGCACTTGAAAATGAGTCTGGCCAGCCTCCCTTTCTTCCTTTCGTTCTTTCTTCCTTTCGTTCTTTCTTCCTTCCTTTCTTTCTTTCTTGTTTATTTGTTACATTTACATTAGAAACAAACTTATTTTACATGTCAGTCCCAGTTCCCTCTCCCTCCCCTACCCTAACAACCTCCTATGCCATCCCCTTTCTGCTCCCTAGGGAGGGTGAGGCCTTCCACAGGGGATCTTCAAAGTCTGTCACATCAATTGTAGCAGGGCCTAGCCCCTCCCCCATGTGTCTAGGCTGAGAGATTATCCCTCTATGTGAAGTGGGCTCCCAAAGTCCATTTGTGATCCACTGCCAGAGGCCCCATAGACTGCACAGGCCTCTTAACTGACACCCATGATCAGGCGGTCTGGAACAGTCCTGTGCTGGTTTCCCAAGTCTCCACCTTTCTTGTTCTCTCTATATCAACACATTGTTTTCTTTTTCCCCTTTATATCTGCTCTTGCTGAGGATTTGAGTTTAGCTCCTTACCAGGTAGCTCACAACCTCCTCTAACTCTAGCTTCATGGTATGTGACATCTTCCTCCAGACTTACACACTTAAACATAAACAAATCTTTAAAGGAATGTGTGATCACATGAGCGGAGTCCAGGCTACAGTCAATACAGTTTCTATTTCTAGCTCCTGTCCTTGCAGTACTGCTAAATAAAGTCTTGTCAAAACGAATGTGAGCAGAATGGCTTGTGGGAGGGCATGCATGTGTGTGCGTGCAAGTTTAGCAACACAGGCTGGCCTTGAACACCAAGTTCTTCTGCTTCTGCTTCCTAAATACTGGGATTAAAGAGTGTGCCAAATAAAGCTTTTTATTTTCATGAATTTGCTTGGAAGCAGGCAATCATAGGAACTTTTTGCTTGGGCCACACCCCTCTTTTAACAAGTGGCATCATGAGATACTTAACGGATCATAGTCACATATCCCTCTCTGAAAAACTCACCTGTTAACTTGTAAGACAGGACCCTTTGGTGGCTTGAAAGAAACTGGCCACCAAAGGGAATGGCACTATTAGGAGGTGTGGCCTTGCTAGAGGAAGTGTGCTACTGTGGGGGCGGGCTTTGAGGATTCTCATGCTCTGGATACCGCCCAGTGGGTCAGTCAACTTCCTGCTGCGTACAAGACTCTTAGCTATTCCTCCAACATCCCATCTGCCTGCTTGCCACCATGCTCCCTGAAATGATGATAATGGACTGAAAATCTGAAAATGTAAGCAAGCCCCTCAACTAAATGTTTTTCCTTATGGGTGTTGCCATGGTCATGGTACCTCTTCATAGCAATAAAAACCAAATTAAGACAGACCCCTACTCTATGGAGGGGCATACATATCCTACTTTGAACAATGGAAGTTTTTCCTTCTCTTAAAAATATCAAACTTGGCTGGGCAGTGGTCACATCTTTAGCCCTAGCATTTGGGAGACAGAGACAGGTGGATCTCTATGAGTTTGAGGTCAGCAAGTACTACAGAAGGAGTTTTAGGACATGCAAGGCTACACAACGAAACCCTGTCTCGAAAAACCAAAACCAAACCAAACAGAGCATCAAATTTAGATTCTTTTCAATTGTACTCCACTTATCAAGTTAAGCGATTTGATCTAGCCTAAACTAGTTTTAAATGCATGTACAGTATGACAAAATGTGTATTTAAAACGAACTTTTAGGGAAGAACCCTCTATCTACCACGTGATGGCCATGCGCAAGTGGAGGTACACAGGATTAAAATAAGATGCATAATAGGAAGAGATAAGTGTAAAATAAAAATGGTTATATAATTTGATCTGTCAATTAAAAAAGAGAATGTCTTCAAACTATGACACTAATATCCAAACTCCTATATCTCTGGAGCCCAGAAAAGAAGACCACAGTCAAGCATTTGGCCTGAGGTCACCCTTGACAGTAATGTGACCTATCCTATCATTTGCTAATTTTGAAAATCCATGTAAGAAGCCAAGAATCTGGCCACACTCAGTCCAGACTATCTCTGTTACCAGTCCAGTGAGTGATGTATATAATCAGTAAATGACTAGAATTTGAACTGTTTGGCTGCAACTTCAAAGAGATTCTAACAACCAAACTGCTGAAAGGATTTAAAATTCTGAGAAAATTCATTTTTCTCTGTGTTGGGGAGATGACTCAGTAGATGGAGACTCTTTGTGCAAAGCCTTATCAAGCCGAGTTTGAGCTCCAGGACCTACAACTGGAAAGAGAATGGACACCCACAAGTTGTCCTGTCCTCCACATCCATATGGTGCCATATGCTCCCCTTGGCCTGCCCCTCTTTATCTTTTGGAGGCACAGAAAGGAGTACTGGGTGTTCAAGTGAAAGACCCCTACCCAGGGCCCCCTAGGAAAAGAAAAGCAAGGCCAGGCCGTTGCCTAATGAAAGAAACCCAGACCAGGTGTTTCACCCTCAAAACAGGATGTCTGTGGTCACTATAGCAGTCATGGGACCCGGATAATAATTGCTGAAGCGTGCTGGGAACTTTCATATGACAATACTAGAAAACCTAGTCCTTGGCAACTACCCTGGCCCCCAATTGTGTCTGATCACTATAGCAATCATGGGACCTGGATAATAATTGCTGAAGCGTGCTGGGAACTTTCATATGACAATACCAGGACACCTAGTCCTTGGCAACTACCCTTGCCCCCAGTTGTGTCTATGATCACCATAGTAGTCATGGGACCAGGATAATAATTGCTGAAGTATGCCTGGGTCTTTCATAAAGTAATACCAGGAAACTTAGTCCGTGGGAACTACCCCTGCCCCCAAGATGAGCCAATGAAATGCCTGTTACTTATGTAACCATTGAAACTCTATAAATATTGTACTTCCTGAAAGCCCGGTATGCTCTGCACCCGAGTTGCAGCAGCATCCGCAGGCGCCTGTGTACTCAATAAATCACCTCTTGCATTTGCAGCCAGTGGTCTGGCCCCGGTTCTTGGGCAGAGGGTTCGATTCAGTGCCTGGCGCTTTGATGCCGAGGTTTTTCACAAGGTCATCCCTAGCAATATAGTAACTTCAAGGCTAGCTTGAGCTACATGAGACCCTGTCTCTAAGTCCAAAACAAGAAACAAAGACTCTCTAAAGAAGTTACTTAGTAACTTATTTATTTGAAACAGGGCCTCACTCTGGCTCAGGCTGGCTTCAAACCGATGGCAATCTCCCTGTTTCATCCTCTCAGTGCTGATTAGAGGTGTTCATACATTACCTGTCTCATGTAGCTAGCTCAGGCTGGCCTGCAATGTACTGTGCAGCCAATGGTGACCTTAAAACGCCATCCTTGCCTGGCGTTGGTGGCGCACGCCTTTAATCCCAGCACTCGGGAGGCAGAGGCAGGCAGATCTCTGTGAGTTCGAGACCAGTCTGGTCTACAGAGCAAGTTCCAGGACAGCCTCCAAAACAATACAGAGAAACCCTGTCTCGAACCCCCCCCAAATATATATATATATATATACACATATATATGAGAAAAGTCTTTGGCTTTACAGCTATGACTTTTTTCTCCCCATAATGCATTTGGCATCATTGTTTTAGTTCACACACACAAAAAAATCTTAGAATAAACTGTGGAAAAGTAACTAAAGAGCTGGGCGTTGGTGGTGCTCGCCTTTAATCCCAGCACTTGGGAGGCAGAGGCAGGTGGATCTCTGTGAGTTTGAGGCCAGCCTTGTCTACAGAGCGAGTTCCAGGACAGCCTCCAAAAAATACAGAGAACCCCTGTCTTGAAAGACAAAACAAAAACAAAAACAAACAAGTAACTAAAACAGGGGAAGGTAAAGGTGCCTGGCCTGTGCAAACCTGGTGATCTGACTTCAATCACTGGAAGCCATGTAAAGTTAGAAAGAGTCTTCTAGTCCCATGTGTGCTGTGGCACATGTGCTTTAACCCCATCATACACATACTCACACTCACACACACCCTCAGTGAAAAAACTGGGGAACTCCCCTAGCCCAAACAGGACATCATAATGTGGTCTTGGCTGGTCTCAAACTCCTTGTTCCTGCCTTCTAAGTGACAGGATTACAGGTGTGTACCACCATGCCCAACTCTAAAATTTTTTCCTTTATTTGAATGTTGCTTGCATGTATGCATACCCTGTGCCTGAAGTGCCCATGGAGATCAAAAGAGGGCACTGGATCTCCTAGAGCTGGAGTCACAGATGACAGTGAGCCACTATGGTTCCTAGGGTGTTAGGAAGGGAACCTGGGTCCTCTGGAAGAACAGCCAGTGATCCCAACAGATAAGCCATCATCCCAACCATATTTTATTATTTTTTAAAGTAATTAAAATGATCGATTTTGAATAATTTCATAGAATTAAGGGTTAGTCTTCAAAGCTAGATGGTAGTGGCACAAGACTTTACTCTCAGCACTTGGGAGGCCAAGGCAGGGAATCTGTCAGTTTGAGGCCAGCCTGGTCTACAGAGAGTTCCCAGGACAGACATGGCTACACAGAGAGACCTGCCTCGAAGAATAATACAGCAGCAGCAACAACAACAAAACCCACCAAACAACAACAAAAGAGTAAGTTTTGGGTTGCAGAGATGGTTCAGCAGATATAAAACAGCACTGGCGGCTCTTCCAGAGGTCCTGAGTTCAACTCCCAGCAACCACATGATGGCTCCCAACCATCTGCACTGGAAACCAATGCCCTCTTCTGTCATACAGGCATACATGCAAGTAGAGCATCCATACACATAAAATACATAAAGTAAAAAAAAAGAAAAAAAAAAAAAAAAGAGAAGCCGGGCGTTGGTGGCGCACGCCTTTAATCCCAGCACTCGGGAGGCAGAGGCAGGCGGATCTCTGTGAGTTCGAGGCCAGCCTGGTCTACAGAGCGAGTGCCAGGACAGCCTCCAAAGCCACAGAGAAACCCTGTCTCGAAAAACAAAAAAACAAAAAAACAAAATAAATAAATAAATAAATAAAAAAAAAAGAGAGAGTCGAAATGACAGACTCTGGATATCCCCTATATGGAAGAAAGTGGGGATAGGGTGGGAGGCTGGGGGGGGGATGTGGGAGGAGGGGAGGGAGAGGGAACTGGGATTGACATGTGAAGCAAGCTATTTAAAATTAAAGTAATAAAAAAGTTAAAAGAAAAAAAAGGGAGGGAGTGAGTCTTCCTGTGCCTTACCAGACTTAATATTCCCATCATCCCGGCAGATGCCACTCCAACGGGTGTACAGCGGTGCTGAGGGAACGTCACGGGTGTGCTTCACTTCCTCCTGTCTCTGATGAATCTTCTCCCAGTTTCGGACCAAGAACACATGATGCTTTAATACAAAGTTTCTGCAAGAAAAGAGAAGGGTGTTCCTTATTTGTCCAGTAAGACTTTATTACATTGTCTACTCTCCACTGCTGCTAAGTAACATAGAGAGGTGAGCAAAACAATGACTAGCTTTTAAAAACAATTATACAACTGGGTGCTGGCAGTTCACATTGGTCATCTGAGCACTCAAGAGGTTCAGATTTGAAAGCCTGCTTGGGCTACAGAATGAGATTTGCAAAATATCAAACACTATTTTCCTATATTATCTCCAAACATCTGGCAAGGAAACCAGACTAGAAAGCAGAGGTTTATGGAATGTTTGTACAAGTCTTGTTTTGGTTAGGGTCTTGAACTCACTATTACAGTTTAGGCTGGATTCAAATCGTCCAGGACAGCCAGGGAGAAACCCTGTCTCAAACAAAAGAAAACACAAATTACATTTATTTATTGTTTGTGCATGTGCACTTGTGTATGTGTGGGTATGCATGGAGGTCAAAGGACACTTGCAGGAGTTGTCTCCTTTTCCACTGAGTGGGACCCACAGACGAGACTCAGCCGGTTCTTTTTCCTGCTGAGCCATCTCCCTGGCACCCTTTTGTCTTTTCCTTTTTCTAGATAGGGTCTTGGGGAGCCCAGACTGGCCTCCCCGAGAGGCACAGGCAGACAGTAATGTGGATGTGCTTTTCTGTATTTATGTGTATGTACAGTGTGTGTGCCTGGTGATCTTGGAGCCAGAGGAGCACATCAGATCGCCTGGAACTAGAGTTACAGATGGTTGTGAACTGTCATATGGTTACCGGGAACTAGACTCAGGTTCTCTGAAAAAAAGCTCTTAATCACTGAGATATCTTTCCTGGCCCCTCCTTTCAATGTTCTAATTTATTTTTAATGAAGTGTGTACACATGTGTAATAGCCTGCAGTTGTTGGAAGTGGGTGTCCCAGAATCAAACTGGGATATTGTGCAACAGTAACACTCACTTTAACTGACAAGACAGCTTTTCAGATCATTTAACTTTTATTCCTTTTTTTGTTTTGTTTTGTTTTTGTTTTTTGAGACAGGGATTCTCTTTGTAGCCTTGGCTGTCCTGGAATTCACTCTGTAGACCAGGCTGGCCTCTAACTCACAGAATAATGACTGTCCTTAGCTCTGAGTGCTGGGATTAAATGTGTGATCCACCACTACCTGGCCTTTCATATATATGTATTTTAAGAGATTTGCTTTATTTTTATATGCAAATGTACAGGTGCCAAGGAGATCAGAAGGGGCCACTGAATACCCCAGAGCTTGAGTTACAGACAGCTGTGAGTCACCCAGGCCATGAGTTGCCCAACATGGATGCTGAGAACTAAAAGCAGTAAGTGCTCTTAACCACTAACCATGGCTCTAGCCCTTTAAAATATTTACTATTATTAGTGTGTGTGTGTGTTTGCACACATGCTATGTGCAAGGGACACAGTGAAAATCTGAAGTCAGTTTTCTCTGTCCACTTTTGTCAGGTTTCTGAGGAATAGAACTTAAGTCACCAGTGTCTACCCCCTGAGCCATTTCAATAGTCCTGACTTTGAACATTTTTGTTCCCCAGACAGAGTCTCTCTGTGTAACAGCTCTGGGTGTGCTGGAACTCACTTTATAGACCAGGCTGACCTCCAGCTTTTGCCTGGCTGACTTTGATCTTTGTTGTGATATAATCATTTTGTACACTGTGAAGATGTGTCTCTGCCAACGCACCTTCTGACTTTTTTTTTTTGGTTTTTTGAGACAGGGTTTCTCTGTGGCTTTGGAGGCTGTCCTAGAACTCGCTCTGTAGACCAGGTTGGTCTCAAACTCACAGAGATCCACCTGCCTCTGCCTCCCGAGTGCTGGGATTAAAGGCGTGCGCCACCAACGCCCGGCTCCTTTTGACTATTTTTAATATAGAGCTGAATGGCTAATAGCTAGGCTGGAGAGAATAGGTGGGACTTCTGGGGAGAGAGAAGAATTCTGGGAAGAAGAGAGGCAGGATTGGCCAGGGAGACCCAGAAAAGTTGGACACTATGGGAGGAGAGGTAGCGAGCCATGTGGCAGAATGTAAATTAATATAAACAGGTTACTTTAAGTTATAAGAGAACAAACCTAACCTAAGGCAAAGCATTCATAATTACTAAGATGTTCCCATGTCATTATTTGGGAACTGGTGGCACAGAGAACATCTGGCTACAGACCTCCCTTACCCCCAGCCAGGGTTTCTCTGTATAACAGTCCTGACCAACTTAGAACTCACTCTGTAGACCAGGCTGGTCCTTAACTCAGGTCATCATGAAAGCATTCTAACCCACTGAGTATCTGACTACCTCTTTTCTTTCCTTTTGATATGGACAATTCTTATCAGAATAAGCAAGTGTTCTTAACAACTGAGCAATCTCTTCTTTCTTGAGACAGGATCTTTATATGTAGTTCTTGTTGGCCTTGAACTTGCTGAGATCTGCCTGCCTCTACCTTCAGAGTGTTGGCATTGAAGGTGTGTAACCATGTCCAGCTGAAGCCTGACTTTTGTTTATTTTTAAATTTCTATTTATTTGTGTGTCTTGTATGCCATGTATGTACAGGTAACTGTGACAACCAGAAAAGACTGTCAGGTTCTGTGGAGCTGGAGTTACAATCATTTTTTTAAAAATTACTTTTACTTTATGTGTATAGGTGTTTTGTCTATATAACACATGCATGCCTGGTACTAAGAGAAGCCAGAAGAGGGTATCAGATGCCTGGGACTGGAGTTATGGATGGCTGTGAGCTGCAGGGTGGGTGCTGGGAATTGAACCTGGGTCTGAGTATCTCTCCTCCCAAGTCTAAAGTCTAGGAATCAGAACTCAGATCCCTGTCCTGTGCTGCATAACAAGCACTGCTATCCACTGATCCATTTCCATAGCCCTAAATATGTTTTTATTGCTCTGTTAACATCAACAAAGAAGTAATTCTTAATTTTTCCATCATCTATTCCTCTGGTAGCCTCCTGGAGTCTATAGAAGCTTTCTGTGAGCAGTTTCTTCACAGGCCATCAAAGTGGTAGAGCGTAAAAATGCTTGTGGAGCAATCCTGATGACCTGAATTTGGTTCCAGGTCCCACAGTGAAAGAGAATGGAATCCTGCTCATTGTCCTTAGACACCACCATGCTTGCCATGTCTGTGTGATCCTGTATTCACACATATAAATCTCATATACACATACAAATAAATGAAAAATTAAAAATTAATTTAAACCTTTATGTAACTTAAAAATTAAGTGTGATGTATGCATACGTACACACTACATATGGGTATGAGGGTATATGTATATACTCATGAAGGTGAGAAGATAACATTTGAGAGTTAATTCTAGTGTTCTACCTTATTGACACAGGGTCTTTCTTGATCTTTCTACTGGTCCATGAGGTTCCTAGTAACTTGCCTATTTCCACCTTACGTCTCACTGTAGAAATGCTAGGATTTGAGCTGCTGTGCTCGTTAGTTATTTACACAAATTGGAGTCACTTGGGAAGAGGGGAAACTCAGTTGAGAAACTGTCTTCATTACATTGAACTCTGGGCATATCTGTGGGGCATTTTCTTAATTGCTAGTTGACGTGAAAGGTTGTAGTACATTGCAGGTAATACAATTCCTAGGTTGGTAGGCCTAGGTTGTATGAGAAAATGAGCAGTGTTCCTCATGGTTGCTGCTTTAGTTCCTGCCTCGAGAATGGACTGGAACCTACTTGTAAGCTGAAAAGAATCCTGTGCTCTGCAAGGAGCGTTTTATCATGGCATTTATTACAGCAACAGACAGCAAACTAGGACAGATGTGCACCCCATATCCTGCTTTTAATATGGGGTTCAGGGATTGGATTCAAGTTGTCAGATCTGCACAGGTAGAGCTGCTGAACCATCTCTCTGGTCTTACATGCTCCCCTCCTTTATATTTACTTACTTATATCTGTGTACCTGTGTATGTGTGGAAATGTGCATACTACAGTGTGTGGAGGTCATAGGACAACTTTGGGAGTTGGTTCTCTCCTACTACATGGATTCCAGGGGTTGAACTCGATTATAAAGCTTGCTGGTTAGCACTTTTACCTGCTAAGTTAGCTCACTAGCTCCCCTATGTAGCTTTTAATATGTTTAAGAGGATATCAGAGCATATCAATTTACTTATTTATTGTATCTGTAACTGTAGCACTTGGGAGCCAGAGGTAGGAGGAGAATCTTGAGTTAGAGAAGAACCTGACCTATACAGTCAGTTCTAGGCTAGACCTGATTTCAGAAGAAAGAAGAAAGAAGGAAAGAAGGAAGGAAGGAAGGAAGGATGGATGGATGGACAAACTAGGGCTGAGGATATAATTCAGTGGACAGAGTGCTTGCTGATTATGAATGAAGAACTAGGTTTGATTCCTAGCACTATCTAAGACAGACATGGTAATATACATCTGAAATTCCAGCACATAAGAGAGATAAAGGCAGAATGACCAGAAAGTCCAAAGCCATCCTTGACTATGTAGTAAGCAAAAAATTACTCCCACCCTCTCAAACAGCAGATATACTCACATAAGGGTTTAAAGGGTTAAAACATCAAAATAATACAGACATATAAAATCAATGATTTCCCTCTATGTGTACTGTAGGTCAAATGATGGACCTTCTACATGCTAGCAGTGTATTTGACTATCGACCACTTATATTCTTCTTATTGTTACTTATTTATTTGTGTGTTTATTTATTTTTAAGTTCTCATTATGTCATTTTGGCTGGCTTGTAGAGCAGGTTGGTCTCAAACTTAGAGATCCACCTGTTTCTACCTCCACTTTTAATGCCTGAGTGTTGGCATTAAAGGCATGTACTACTATGCTCAGGTTCTACATTAATTCTTTTATTAATTTAATTTTATGTATGTGTTTTGCCTATATGCATGTTTGTGCACCACATACATACTCCATGCCTGTGAAGGCCAGAAGAGGGCATCAGATCCCTTAGAACTGGAGTTACAGATAGCTGTGAGTCACCATATGGGTGTTAAGAATTGAACCTGAGTCCTCTGGAAGAGCAGTAAATACACTTAACCACTGAGCTACCTCTCCAGTCCTCTTTTTTTTTAAGACAAGATATGGTGGTCTGAAAGAAAAGGCCCCGAAAGGGAGTGGAGACAGACCATGTCTGTTGCTTGCAAGGTACAGGACTCTCAGATACTTCTCTAGTACCATGTCTGCCTGCAAACCATCATGTCCCATCATGATGATAATAGACTGAGCCTCTAAAACTGTAAGCCATCACCCCTATTAAATGGTTTCCTTTGCCATGGTCATGGCGTATCTTCACAGCAACAGAAACCATAACTAAGACAGAAGTTGGGACCAGGGTCTGGGGTATTGCTGTGATAGGTCTGACCATAGTTTTTTTCTTTTCTTTTCTTTGGAGGAATTTGGACAAAACAAAAACAAAAACAAAAGCACACACACACCTTTGTCTTTAGTTGAATTAAGACCTTGTGTAGAAAATACACCAACTTCATGAAGTTCAACAATATTTTAAGTTGACACGCAAGTCATATAAAAACTTCTTAAGGTTATTTAAAAAGTACCGAATACTAAAAACCCTTTTACCTTTCTCTATTGGACATTGGCTTCATCTGTAATTGTGGAGTCAATCTTGTTGGGGTATTGATGTTTTCACTGGGCTCTTCAGAGGGATGGCCTCTCTAAAAATTCACGTGGGTGAGAGCACAAGAAAAAAAAAATCAATCAGATATCACCTCTAAAATTGTAAAACCAATGTAAAGATGCAACCCTTTGCATATTCTAAAAAGTGCCTGAAGGGCACTCAGAGCAGCCTAATTTAGGGAAACCCTTGAGATCATGATTCACCCGTTTCTTCAGCTTGTGCTTAGACTTTCTCTTCTCTTTCGACCGCCCAGACTTTCTGTGTGTGTTCACAGACTGGCTGCTTTTATGGCTACTGAGTCCATTCATCCTTTGACTTTTGCCTCCAATGATTCCGCGACACTTCTCAAAACCACATTTACAAAGTTGCTGTAATGAAAGAGAAAGAGAATATTTTTTTAGCCCTGTACATATCTCTTTTTAAGAGGGTCCCTGAGCACTGGATCCCTAAAGTTTTAAGGATGAAGCAAGGACCTGAAGTGCAAATATGCCAATAATCAATTGAAGTTCTGGTGGCCCATCCCTATAATCTGAGCATTTGGTAGATGGAGGCAGGAAGATAATGGAGTTTACCCTACGACATAGAATATCTGAGGGAAGGCTGACTCAAATGAAGAAAAAGGGGAGAATAAGAGGAAGGAGAGGAGTGATAGATTATAACCACTGAATTAATGATGCACACCTATATCTCAACACTCTACAGGTAAGTCACAATACCCAAGGCTACAAATTAAGTTTGGGCATTAGGCTGGGGATTAGACTGTTACAAACTGATCAACAAACCAGCCAAGGCAAATATAACACCTGAGCACAGTGGCACATGCTGTAATCCTAGCACATGGAAGGTAGGATTGCTTCAAGTCTGAAAGCAGCCTGGTCTACATAGCAAGTTCTAGGCTTGCCAGGGCTATATAGCAAGACCCTATCTCAAAAACTGAAGCCAAAATCAGGGCACTGTGGTTTTCAGAGTTCTGAGACAGTGAGATCCTTATCTTCAAGAGTGAGGAGAAGTCTTTTTCAATTCCCTCTTGATTTTAACTTCTTACCTGTTTTTCTACATTGAAGGAATGAAAGTTGTAGTCATAGGTGAGTTCTGTCCCAGCTAGCACATCCTTAAGCGCGTACAATCCAATACGGTACACTCCATTAACAGACCTATTTACAAAGTAGCAACATTAAAAGTTGGGTTCTTTGTAGTTGTTTTGTTTTTCGAGACAGGGTTACTCAGTAGCTATGGATCCAGTCCTGGAACTTGTTTTTGTAGACCAGGTTGGCCTTGAACTCAGAGATCCGACTGCCTCTGCCCACTGAGTGCTAGGATTAAGGATGTGTGCCACCACCATCCGGCAAAAGTTGGGATTTCTTACCACAGTCATGCAATGCAAAGCACTCCACCAATGCACTATAGCCTTGCCTTTTCTTTTATGTTCTTTTCCTTTTAAGAGAGTTGTCTGCCATCATGCCTTTAATCCCAGAACTCAGGAGCAGAGGCAGGCAGATTTCTGTGAGTTCTAGACCAACCTGGTCTACAGAGTGAGTTCCAGAACAGCCAGAGCTATGTAGGAAACCCCTACCCACTCTCTCCCCCCCAAAAAGCAAAGTATCACTGTGTTGTCCCAGCTGGCCTGGAACTTTGTAGACCAGGCTGGCCTCAAACTCAGATTAAAGATGTACAGCACCAAACCCAGGTTATTATTATTATTATTAGGCATGGTCTCATGCAGTAGTTTATGTTGACCTCAAACTTACCAGGTAGCCAAGAATGACCCTGAAGTTTTCTTGTTTTGTTTTTCGAGACAGGGTTTCTCTGTAGCTTTGGAGCCTGGCCTAGAACTCACTCTGTAGACCAGGCTGATTTCAAGCTCACAGAGATTCTCCTGTCTTTGCCTCCCGAGTGCTGGGATTAAAGGTGTGCACCACCACTCTCTGGCGACTTTAAACTTTTGATCCTCCTGCCTCTCTACCTCCTGGGTGTGAACATTACAGGCCATGGTACCACACAGGATTTACGAGGTGCTGGTGATAGAACCCAGGCAGGCCTCTGTGCATGTCAGACAATCACTTTCAGGTGAACTATATCCCCAGCCCCTTGTTATTTACATAGCCCCAAATTCATGCTGACCCATCCTCCTGTTTCATTCTACCCCAGTGGTGGGATTACAGGCATGCATCACTGTGTTTGGCCTCAGAGAGAGCATTCCTCCTCTCCCACATGCCCTGTATCCGCAGCAGGATCTTTTCTGTATCCCTAGTTTCCCTGAACTCTTTAGGTAGATAAGGCTGGCCTCACCTCACAAATATCCTTCTGTCTTTGCCTCTTGAGCTCTAGAATAAAAGGTGAGTGCCACCATGAATACTGAAGAGTTCAGGTTAGACAAGGACTACACAGTGAGGCACCATCTCAATCAATCAATCAATCAATCAATCCATCAATCAATCAATCTCAACCAAGTGCTGCCCCAAGAGCAAGGTAATTTTATCATTCTGTGCCAAAGTATGACACTCAGGAGTAAAGGCCAGCCTTGTTTACACAGAAAGTTTGAGGTCAGCCTCAGATACATGAGACCCTGGCTCAAAACAAAACAACAACAAAAAAAAAACCCAACCAACCAACCAACCAAAACAAAACAAAACAAAAAAACAAAACCAATCAAAAAACAACAAAAGAAAAAACCAAAAAAACAAAAAACAAAAAACAAAAACAAAGGAGAGCTGCCTAGTATAGTTGAGGCCCTAGGAAACAAAACAAATCCACACTTATAAAACTAAGAAAAAAAATATAAACAAGCAAATCTTTCCCTGAGCCAGAAATTTTGAGTACATACCTTGCTGAGTTCTTACTGATTTATGTACTTGTATAATCTCTCAGAAAGCTCCTAAGTCAGTACCCATACCACAAACGATCCATATTGTTCTCATCTTTATCACCATGTATTAATTTTGTCTATTTTTCACTTCAAATAAATGGAATCACAATACAATCTATACATTTTTTAAAAAGGTTTTGTTTTTTATGCGTATGAATGTTGTATCTGTATGCCTGCGTAACATGTACATACTTGATGCCTGTGGAGGTCAGAGTAGACACTGTATCCCCTGGAATTGGAGTTACAGATGGTTGTGAGCCACCATGTGGGTTCTGGGAACTGAACTCAGGTCCTCTGCAAGAGCAGTAAGTGCTCTTAACTACTGTGCTAGCTCTCCAGTCCATAAAAAATTTATGTGTATGTGTGTATCTCTGTGGGAGGGGTGTGTGGAAGTACATGCAGAAGCCAGAACACAGTGTAAGATTCACAAGAGCTAGTTCTAAGTTGTCCTACATGGATGCTAGAAACTGAACTTGCCACCTCCTTAGCCCCCCCCCGCTTCTCCCCCTTCAAGACAGGATCTCTATGCAGTCTTGGCTGTCCTGAAACGTACTCTGTAGATCATGCTGGCCTCAAACTCAGAGATCTACCTGCCTCTGCCTCGAAAGTGCTGGGAATAAAGATGTGACACCCAGCTGAGCCCTTGTTTATTTGATTGAGACAGGACCTCACTGTGTATTTATGGCTGGCCTCAAACACACAGAACCACATGCCTAATTAAAAGTGCATGCCACCATGCCCAGCAGTTTTTGTTTTTGTTTTGAGACAATGTTTCTCTGTGTAACAGCTCTGAATATCCTTGTAGACCAAGTTGGCTTTGAACTAACAGAGATCAGTCTCCCTCTGTGGCACAGAGATTGTGGGATGGCCTGAGACCCTGAGACCCATGCCACAAGAGTGAGCCCACCCCTGACTCTGCGTGGAATGCCAGGACCTGAGACTGGACAGCTCAGAGACCTAGGATAGAACCAAACACAACTGGAGAAAAAAAAAATGTCAATGTAATGATGCTTAATGATATTCTGCTACACTCATAGATTGGTAACTACCCCAACTGTTACCTGAGAGGCTTCATCCAGCAACTGGTGGACACAGATGTAGAGACCCACAGACAAAAACTAGGCCTAGGGGAATCCTACTGAAGAGAGAGAAGGATTGTACGGGCCAGAGGGGGCTAAGGACATCACAGGAAAACCCACATAAACAACTAATCTGGGCTCACAGGAGCTTACAGAGTCTGAACCAACAACCAGAGAGCCTGAAAGGGACTGATCGAGGCCCTCTGCATACATGTGACAGTTGCGTAGTTTGGTCTTCTTGTGGGAAGGCCTAACAGTGGCAGCAGAGACTGTCCCTAATGCTTTGGCTGGCTTGTGGGAACCTATTCCTCATATTGGGTTGCCTTATCCAACTTGATATGCCATGCTTTGTTGACACGCATGAGAGGCCTGCCTCTTTCCGAAGAGAAACAGAGGAGTGGAGGTGGGGTGGGGGTGGGGAGGTGTGTGGGGTGTGAATGAGATAAGAGAGGGGAACTGCAGTCAAGATGTAAAAAACAAACAACAACAAAAACAATCAACCAACCACCCAACCAAACAAAAAAATGAGGTGCAACACCACCACCAGACCAAGCTTTTTTTGGTTTTTGGAGATGAGATTTCACTATGTGGCCCAGGCTGGCCTGCAATTTGCTATCCTCCTGCCTTAGTTTCCTAAGTGCTCAGATTAAAATGTGTGCTACCACACCTGTCTTTGAAAAATCTTATTGATCTTTCTCTGTGTGTGTCTGTGTGTGGAATGCAAATGTCAATACCTACATGTGGAGGTCAGAGGGCAATTTACAGGAGCAGCTTTTGTTTTTGTCCCCCTACCATGTGGGTCTCCTGGACTGAACTCAGGTTTGGCAGTAAGCACCTTTACCCAATGAGCCTGTACCCTGTTCTTAGTATGTACACTTTTATACCCAGTCTCTTGTACCCAATGGCATACTGAATTATATACATCCGTTTGTACCTTTACATACTGTATAGTTTTCCATTCAAGGAAATAAAACAAAAAAAACATACTTTATATACCTATTCCACTGCTGATAAATATTTGACAGATTGTAGTTATCAGTTATTACACAAATCTTCCAGGGCAGAAGCGATGTTGCCTACCTGAGCCTCAGCACCTTGGAGACTACAGTGGAAGCATCCTGATTTTCAGGTTAGCCTAAGATACATAGTGAGACTCTTGCAAAAAGAAAAGAAAACACAACAGAGTTTTATGTGTATATTCTTGTACATGTCTTCCACACCCCCCTGTAATTTGCTTTTTCATTTGTTTAAATACATAAGGGGCACAGCATCATGAATTTCACAATCAATAGCCTCTGTGGGAATGCTGCTTCAAAATTTGGCACTAACTTTACTATTGTTTCCAAGGTTTCCCAGATTCATCTGCTTTTGATTGGTTGACAAACAAAAAGTTTGAAGTCACTGTGATGCTAGCCTGGTCCACATCATAAGTTCCAGAACTTCAGGGATATGTCAAGAGACCTTGTCTCAACAACAACACCACCAAAAAATAGCAGGTGCTCGTATGGCTCTGAAACCCTATTTATTGCCAGCCCCAAGTTACATTTGCCGTTTGGAAGCCCAGTTCTCAGCAGCTCCTATAGGAGTCAAGACTAGTCAAAGAGCTATACATGTCTTGAATATATCTAGCAATTTTTTAAGGCCATATTCTTATACTTGGAAAAGAAGGGGGATGCTGGGCTTTTAGGAGGCAGTGATGTGCTTTTAAAGAAGTTATATCAATTCACATTTCACCAGCAGTTAACCTTATCATTCATACTGCTCTATCCTTTTTTGTTCTCACTCTGTAGACCAGGGTGGCCTGGAACTCACAGAGATCCGCCTGCCTCTGCCTCCTGAGTTCTGGGATTAAAGGCGTGTGCCACCATGCCTGGCTTGCTTTTATACTTTTTTCACGAACATTTTGTATTGTCAGTCCTTAATTCTAGACATTTTGGTGGGTAGATACTGGTCTTGATATCAAATCTGTTATCTAATTTTTGTTTGAGGATTCATGAAGCCCAAGCTGTCTTTGAACTTCAGATGCCTGATTTGTCTGTCTCCATTTCTTGAGTGTTGGGATGACAAGGATTTTTTAAAAAAAATTTATTTATTTATTATGAATAAAACATCCTGCCCCCATGTCTGTCTGCAAGCCAGAAGAGGACACCAGATCTTATTACAGATGGTTGTGAGCAGATCTTATTACAGATGGTTGTGAGCCACCATG